ACGGTCCCTGAGAATCCTTACGGTTTCCATGGGTTCCTACGGATTCATAGAAAGACTCCAAAAGATTCATTGGAATTCATCAAGGTCCCGGAGGAAACCACAATAGTCCAAAGCAATCCTCCAGAACCCTTTGAAACATTAGAGATCATTCGGACTATCTTTGGATACGTGGATATCTTCACCCATCCATGAGGAATCCACAGAAATCCAATGGAATTCGTAAGAGATCCCCAGGTTACCTGATGACTCCTTCAGAAATGACCTGGAAGCTTCCATTCATGAGAGATCCCCAGGAATCCCAAATAATCCAAGAAAAATCCGCACACATCCATAGGAATCCCCTGGCATGCCAAAGAATTGTTTGGAATCCCTGGGGATCTTCAATCGTCCAGCACTGCCAGGGGTCCAAAAGGAATCTCATAAGTGCATCACCCCCCCCCTCCGATGCGATGCGATGCGCGCCACCCCCCTCCCCCTGGGGCGCGTCTGACACCCGTCGTTCCCAACAACAACAGCAACAACAACAACAGCAGCAGCAACAACAACAACAACAACAGCAGCAGCAGCTGCAGCAGCAGCAACAGCAACAGCAACAACAACAGCAACAGCAACAGCAACAGCAACAGCAACAGCAACAGCAACAGCAACAGCAACAGCAACAACAACAACAGCAACAACAACAACAACAGCAACAACAACAACAACAACAACAACGACGACGACGACGACGACGACAACAAAACCACCACCACCAACAATCATGTTGATACTGCTTGCTCCTATCTGTTCGCGTGCCAATCAATACGTATATCCCAGAACCCTCGGTTCCCGCCGTCGTCGCCGCCGATCGTAACCCCCCCTGTGGGTACATCTTCCGTACCTGCCACGCGCATGTAGTGCAGCCCAACAAGGGAAGAGACAACGGGTGGAAAGGGGGAGGGACATTTTAATGGAGCACGGGAAAATGCTGCAGGCGGGGGGCACGGATCAGAAATCACGTTGCAGAACCAGGCAGGCAAATCGGGTGGGCAGACCCATAGCGGTCAGGTCGGGAACGTGGGCCCAGGCGACCGGGTCGATCAGGCGGGTTGCTGCGGCGTGGGCCCTGCATGGGTCGCGAGAGGTCTCGAGCGATAGCGCGATACCCACGTGAATCGAGCGTGATTCCTGAGCGCCGAGGGCGCCTCGTCTGAATGAGAGCTGCGGGGGCGTCCCACGCGAAAGCGCGACTCGAGTGCAAAGCGTGAGGAATTCCCGCGCGCGAGCGCGCTGTGGGAATACATTGCAAGGAAATCTCCGGCGGGAGCCGTTGTTGTTGTTGTTGTTGTTGTTGTTGTGGTTCGGAGGCCAACCGCGCAGTGCGAGCCCTGCAATTCTCCTTGATGGAAAAAAAAAACAGGGTGCGAGCCCCGGGGGAGGCACTTCAACTGAAAAATCATACATGGTCACCGGCGGGGGGGATCAACCATATATATATATACATATATATATTCTTCCGCAGTAAGAATTCAACAATACATATTCACTGCGTGAAGCTCCTCATGTCTTCATCTACTAGCACGGACCTGTCCGCCGTGAGTGTCTAGGCGCAAGAGTTTTCGAATATAAACAGGCTTGAGTATTGAAGGTGAGGGAGTGACTCTAATTGTGAATGAGTTGGGGCGTGAATGAGTCTCGGTATTACGAGCGTGCCTCTGCGCATGAGCCTGCTTCCTGGGGCCTCCTGGAGCCTCTTGGGGCCTCCTGGGTCCTCGTGTGGCCTCCTGGGGCCTCCTGGAGCCTCCTGGGGCCTCCTAGGGAGGATTCGTGCCCCAGGAGCGGCCCAATTTATAGAAACCGACGTTCATATAACACTGCGCATGGGAGCCGCAGGAGAAGGGCAATCTATAGGAAACCGCGCAAAACACAAAGGACTCGTGCCCCAGGGAAGGCCAAATCTATAACACACGTAAAACACTAAGGATTGGATCCGCAGGGGAAGGACAATCTATAAAGACACATGCAACAACAAATACCCTGGCGAAGAACCCAACCCCTTCTACGCGCGTGGAAACTATCAAGAGCTCGTGCACAAGAGCTCGATGCACAAGAGCTCGTTGCGGTGCGAAGGGCGCGCCGAGGCGGACCCGAGTACGCATGCGGACCCTACCACTGGACCACGAAACGTGTGAGAGGTGTGCCGGACCCGAGTACGCATGCGGACCCTACCACTGGAGCCTTCGGTGGAGCTCCATATGGGGCCACGAAACGTGAGGAGTGTGCCCAAATGGACCCGAGTACGCATGCGGACCCTACCACTGGAGCCTGCGGTGGAGCTCCCTATGGGGCCACGAAGCGTGTGAGGGGTGTGCCCAAATGGACCCGAGTACCATGCGGACCCTGCCACTGGAGCCTACCCTTCGGTAGAGCTCCCTATGGGCCACAGAACGTGTGAGGTCTTCGCCGAAGTGGACCCGAGTACGCCTGCGGACCCTGCCACTGGAGCCTTCGGTGCAGCTCCCTATGGGGTCACGAAACGTGGAGATGTGCCCAAATGGACCCGAGTACGCATGCGGACCCTACCACTGGAGCCTTCGGTGGAGCTCCCTTTGGGGCCACGAAGCGTGTGAGGGGTGCGCCTAAACTATGAGGATAATGACGATGGTGGTGATGATGGTTGTGGTTGCGATGGGAAGTGGGACAGGGAGGAGGAGGAGGAGGAGGAGGAAACGAAGGGAAGAGTGAGAAGGAACATAAGAGGAGGGAGGAGGGGGAGGAGGAGAGAAGAGGAGACGCGCGGCGCTGCGGATTCAAAACGAGGATCCAACACACAGGAGGGTTGGGAACAAGGATTCGTGCTCCAGGGGGTCCCAATGTATAGGAGCAGACGTACTTACAACACATGGGATTGGAGCCACTCCTGTGGCCTTTTGGGATCTCCTGCTCCTGGTGACTCTTGGGGCCTCCTGGTGCCTTCGGGGGCCTCCTGGTGACTCCTGGCGCTTCCTGTGGCCTCCTGGGGCCTCCTGTGGCCTCATGTGGCCTCCTGGAGCATCCTGGAGCCTCCTGAGGCCTCCTGGAGCTTCCTGGGGCCTCCTGAAGCCTCTTACGGCATCCTGTGGCCTCTTCTCTTGAGTCTTCCTGTGGCTTCCTGCTGCCTCCTGGGACCTCCTGTTGCCTCCTGTTACCTCCTGGGGCGTCCTGGAGCCTGCTGGAGCCTCCTGTGGCATCCTGGGGAGAATTCGTGCCCACGAGTCCGGCCACCCAAACAGGCAAACCGATCGAGACATCCTCAACATCTGGCCTCACTTGGGGGCGACAATGAACGCCTCGCTCGATACATCCTCCAAATCTGCTCCGAAAGCGGAGGATGTTGGGCCAAGAAACAGGCACACCGCTCGAAACATCCACGCCATTTTGGCGCGAACGGAGGAGTGCAATACCCCGTGGCGGCTCCCCCTTGCGTGTGCTGAAACCCGCGCCTCGCTCGATACATCCTCTGAATTTGCTCCATCGTCATCATCATCATCATCATCATCATCATCATCATCATCATCATCATCATCATCATCATCATCACCACCACCACCACCACCACCACCACCGCCGCGACCACCACCATCACCATCACCATCATCATAATCATAATCATCATCAGCATCATCATCATCATCATCATCATGTTCATCATCATCGTCATCATCAGCACCAGCATCATCAACAGCAGCGTCATCACCATCATCACCATCGACATCATCACAACATAGCATGGCATATGATAAAACAAACATACTATAATAGAGCATGCCGTACCATACTATAGCATACCATGCCATACCATAGCATGACATGCCAATGTATACCATAATACAGGGTAGCCTGACATACCCTAACATAACATACCATAGCATAACAAAAAATAAAAGGGAATATGAGCGGGAGGGGACGAGGACATGAGAGGATAATAAGAGGAGAAGAGGGAGTAGGAGGCGTCCGAGCAATAACACGAGTCCAGTCTTAGGATGTGGGGAACAACAAGTTCAACAACAGCAGCAGCAGCAAACACAACAACGATCATGCTAAGACTGTTCGCTCTTATCTGCTCGCGTGCCATTCTACACGTATATCCCAAACCCGCGATACCCGCCCTCTTCGTCTTCGATCGTGCCTGGTTGGGGCATTTCGTGCAGCCCCCGAGGCAGGGAAACGAGGACGGATGGAAGGAAGGGACAAGGGGGGGGAGGAGGATGGAGCACGAGAGAGAGAGAGAGAGTAGGAGGGGGGCTGGGAGCAGAAAACACGCGGCAGAACCAGACAGGCAGATCAGGCGGATAGACCCTGACAGGCGGGTCGGGAAGGCGGGCCTAGGCGGCCAGGTCGAGCAGGCGGGTTGCTGAAGCATGCGTCCTGCATGAATCGCGAGGAAGGCTCGAGCGATAGCGCGATTCCCAAATAAACCGTGAGGAAATCCACAGCGAAAGCATGATTCCTGAGTGTCGAGGGCGACGCGCTTTAATAGATTAAAAGGAAGTCCCACGCAAGAGCGCGATTCCTGCATACGTACATTGTGCAAGTCCAGCGCGAGAGCGCGATTTCGGATCGGAACCAATTGTGGGGAAGTATCAGGCGCGAGCCGTTGTTGGTGTAACTCCGGGGCCAGTGGCCTTATTTTGAGACCCCAAGACGTTGCCTGATGAAAAACAGGGAACAATCCCCAGGAAGGGTACTTCAACTGACAACAAAAACACAATGTGCCCCGGAGGAGGGGTTCAACAACAACCGGAGCACAACCAAAACCACAACAAGCAACATTCGCGCCGCGGAACTCCGCTTCAGCCACGCATCTGGGGACAGTGCAAGACCGTTCGGCCCCCTCACCCTGATATACAGATGTATATACACACACACGCATCGGTCCACTTCCTTCCCCCTCGCCCCGCCTTCCCCCGAGACTCTGCCTCCAAGGAGGAGGAGGAGGAGGAGGAGGAGGAGGGTTTGGCAGAACCCCCTTGGAACGGTTCCTCCAAGAACGTTGGCATGAACGTCGTGGCGCCGTAGCCTGCGGCGGGAGCAGCCCGCCGGGCCGTGGCCGCCGCCCCGCCACCCGCTGGGACCGGGCAGGAACCGCACCTCCTCCTCCTCCTCCTCCGCCACCTCCTCCTCCTCCTCCTCCACCTCTCCCTTCCTCCTCCTCCTCCTCCTCCTCCTCCTGCTCCACCTCTCCCTTCCTCCTCCTCCTCCTCCGTAGCCATTTTGGCTCAAGTTGGTTTGGCTCAAGCTCGCTCCGCAGGGTCGCCTTGCTTCCCGCAGCGCCGCTGATGCCGCCGACGCCGAGGCAGACGGCCCTGGAGGTTGCCCGCGGGGCGACCCTGGCAATTCACGCTGCTGCTGGGCTGACGGGCGGCGTGGAGCGCGAGGCGACGCGCCTGCTCCGCGCCGCCGAGGGCCTCGCGCGGGCCGCGGTGGCCATCCTTGCGGCTCCTCCTGCGCCCGCCGCGCCCGCCCAGGCGCCTGGCCCGCGCGCTGCGGCCCCTCGGCGGCGGCGGCGACGGCCTCGAAGCGGCGGCGGCGCGGCTCAGGCTGGGCCCGCAATCATGGACATCGACATGACCGACGAGGCACAGGGGGCGGCTAGCGCAGCGGCGGAGGGCCCCGCGGCGGTTGCCGACCAGCCGATGCTGGATGACGACAGCTGGGCCGACGGGCTGCTGGTGCAGCCGCGCGGCCGGCAGCCGCCCAGCACAGCCCCGCGCGAGGGCAAGGGCAAGAACACTGGCAAGGGCGACGAGCACGGCAACGAGGGCAAGTACGCGCGCCAGGAGATCTGGCAGTTGCGGCTCAGCGTCACCCGCTTGCAGAAGAGCGCGGGGCTGCCCCAGCCGAACCCGCCCTTCGGCCGCGGCGAGCTCATCGCGCTGCTCACCGACCTCGAGAGGCGAGTGGCGGCGACCGGTGGCGGCCGCGGCGGGGGCTCCCGGGCGGCACATGGACGGCATCGGTAAGACCGTTGTCCCGTGCTTCGGGAGCGAGGCCGTGATCGGCTGGGGCGCCTCGTCGATGGTCGCCTTCATCACGGCCGGGGGCCTTGCCCGAGAGGCGGGCCCCCGTGGTCAGGGGTCCTGGCGGCGGCCAGGACCCCTGTTGGTCGGGAGCCTGCCTTGAGCGGGCTCCCGTGGCCAGGGGCCCTAGCCTGGAGGCAGGGCCCCTGTCGGCGCGCGCGCCGCCGCGAGCGCTCGGGAGGCGGCCGTCCGCCCGCCTCCCCGATGCGCGCGGATCCTCCTCCTTCTCCTCCTCCTCCTCCTCCTCCTCCTCGTCCACATCTCCCTACCTGCTCCTCCTCCTCCTCCGCCTCCTCCTCCTCCTCCTTCTCCTCCTCCACAACCTCTCCCTCCTCCTAGTCCTCCGCCTCCTCCTCTTCCTCGTCCTCATCCTCCTCCTCCTCCGCCTCCTCCTCCTCCTCATTCTCCTCCTCCTCCTCAACCTCTGCCTTCTCCTCCTCCTCCTCCTCTCCTCCTCCTCCTCGTCCTCGTCCTCCTCCTCATCGTCCTTCTCCTCCACCTCGCCCCTCCTCCTCCTCCTCCTCTCCTCCTCCTCCTCCTCCTCCTCCTCCACATCGCCCTCCTCCTCCTCCTCCTTTTCCTTCTCCTCCTCCTCCTCCTCCTCCACCACCTCTCCCTCCTCCTCGTCCTCCTCGTCCTCCTCCTCATCCTCATTCTTCTCCTCCTCCTCCTCCTCCTCCTCCTCCTCCTCCTCCACCACCTCTCCCTCCTCCTCCTCCTCCTCCCTCCTCCTCCTCCTCCTCCTCCTCCTCGCCTCCACCTCCTCCTCCGCCTCTTCCGCCTCCTCCTCCTCCTCCGCCACCCGTTCTCCCTCTTCCTGCTCCTCCTCGTCGTCCTCCTCCTCCTCTTCCTCCGCCTCCTCCTCCTCCACAACCTCTCCCTCCTGCTCCACCGCCTCCTCCTCCTCCGCCTACTCCTCCTACTCCCCCCTCCACCACTTCTCCCTACTTCTCCTCCTCCTCCTCCTCCTCCTCCTCCTCCTCCTCCTCATCCTCATCCTCATCCTCTTCCTCCTCCTCTTCCTCCTCCTCCTCCTCCTCCACCTCTCCCTCCACCTCCTCTTCCTCCTCTGCCTCCCCTTCCTCAAGCGCGTAGAGGAAGACCCGACATGGCCGTGGCAACTGCTACCCGCCATCATAGGTCTGACCCCGAAGGAGACGGGAGGCCAGCGAACCATTGCCCTGTTGAGCTGGCGTTCCCGTTTCTGGAGACGTTTGAGAAATGACGTGTCTAGGGAGTGGCTGGACGGTCAGGCTGGTTTCTGGGATGAGGCTTTCAGGGGAAGCAGTGCACTTAGAGCAGCTGTCGCCCGCCATTTCATGGACGATGCGGCGGATGCCATTGGCATTGCGCACGTATTCGTCCACCATCCTTGTCTTGTCTAGCCAAATCTACCCAGGCCCCAAAAGCCTTCGAGACATATCCGCTGTCAATGACCCGATCAACCCCACGTTGGAGGTCACGGCAGACTGCCGTAACGCCAAGAACGGCGCCACCGCTTTCCTCTGCCCCCTCCTCGATTATGTGAATCGTTCCTTTTTCTCCCGCGGGCTGGTCGCCACATCCTGGATCGATGATGTCAATTCTCGCGTCGAGGGGCCCCGCAGGCACATCGTCGGGTGCCTCACGGAGGCTGCCATGGTTTTCTCGTCGGCCATCGCACAAGCCGGTCAGCCCCCTCTGACAAGTCAACCGTGATCGCTTCCGATCGTATGTTGCCAACAGAGATCACCGCCTCCCTCCGCAAAGCGGGCCTCCAGGTCAGAAACCAGGGGGCCGCGGCGGACCTTGGCACAGAGAGGGGCCCCAGGAAGCCCCAGAAGCCCACCGGGCACCGTGCCGGGAAGAAATGTGCCAGATGGCAGGCCGCTAGGCTGCGCAAGGTTGCCAAGGACGCGGCTGGAGCCCGTGCCGCGAGGCGGGTCGCAGCCACAAGTGTCATGCCGCGAATCGCCTGTAGAACTAACGTCATCCCTCTGGGCGTTCCTTGGGCAAGTTCTCCACGTCCAGGGCGAGAGGAAGATGTCTCACCACCGCGCCGCATCTAGATCTAGGTTGAGCCTGTCTCCCTACAGGGGGATGTTGGTCGAAAATCTAAAAAATCGTCACCCGACGATGTTTGACTATTTTGAAATATTCCTTCTGTAGAGGGACAGGCCCGACTTGAAACTGAAGTCATCCCTCTTGCCTACACCCAGTGAGTGACCTCAGGCGCTCCTTGGGCAAATTCTCCGCGTCCGGGGCGAGAGGATGACGTCTCACCACCGCGCCGCATCTGGAGTATGGGGGCCAGGACCCCGCCATTGCACCACCTGCTTTGGCACCCTCGGCCTCTGGTTTGAGCTCGTGTCCTCCTCCAGTCTGCTCCGACGCCGAGCGCAGAGGGCGCGGCCCCGCGTGTGCCAAGCAGTGTGTCCCGCGGATCCGAGCCAGCGCTGGAGGGAGGTAGGTGGCGTGATGGCGGGGGCGATGTCCGTGCTCCCCTCCGCGGGGTGGATCCTCACGGGCCGGGGACTGGGGCCATTTGAACGGTGACTGCTACGCCGTGGCGTAGTCAGCCTTCGAGGATCACCCGGAGTGGGAACCCTTCCCTGAGGTTCTCTCGTGAAGCCCTGAGGCTTTCGGCCTGGAAGGCCGCGTCGAAGCACTACAGCGGTCGGGGTCTAGAACACGGTGCTGAGACGTCTGAGTCGCTCAACACTCTGAGAGCCATGGCCACACAAGGTACCAACACGTGTAGGGCTGGCCAGTGCACTGTTACAGCTGCTGGCTTCTGGCCCAGAGACAGGCTGTTCCAAGCAGGGGTGAAGTCGAATCTAATACGTGTCCGAGGTGTTGTCGTGAGCCCGAGATTAGGGGAACGAACAATGACATAAACATAACAACTCGGAGGTCCGCGCGGATTTCTCGGATCGGCGCTGGACCCCCCTCCCTGGCGCGCGGAGCGCGCCAAGGGCGGCGCTGGAGGCGCCGCCAGGAGGCCTCAGCGCCGATCCGAGAAATCCGCGCGGACCTCCGAGTGTTTATGTTTATGTCATTGTCCGTTCCCCTAGAGACACCGCTGCTGGACGTGCCCTGAGAATGCGACGAGTTCCCATTGTCCTCCCACCCAGGCATTTCATCGATCAGGCCGTAGCGGGGGCAGAGGCGCACCCCTGCTGCTGGCTAAGAGGAATCATCCCAGAGATTCGGATGCTCATCCCCGAGCCGCCCAAAAACCTCACTGTCAGGCTAGATCCCTCCTTACCATTTTCTCCCCTCCTCCCGCCTGGCGGTTCCCCTCGCTCGCTCCTGCGTGGTTTGCGTGAGGAGGCCCTCCTTACTATGTTCTCCCCTCCTCCCGCCTGGCGGTTCCCCTCGCCCGCTCCTGCGTGGTTTGCGTGAGGAACGTCGGACCTGGATGACGGGGGACGGCTCGGAGGGGACCGTTTTCGGGTCACCCGTTGCTCCGCAGGACCTCTTGGGCCGTTGTGTGTGTGTGTGTGTGTGTGTCAACTGGGGAGCCGACCCTCGGGACCTTGGAGCCATCCAGAAGTCACGCGGTTTTGGAGGGACTGTCCCAGGCCACAGGCAACGCAGCAATCGTTCAGTTGTTTTCGTTTGGTGAAGCTAGTCTAGCAAACCAGGGCAGAAGCCTCATCTACCTCACTGACAGCGCATATGCCCAGAAGGGTCTCTTCAGGCTGCCAGCCAAAGCGTGCTGGAAGCCTAAGGGAAACAAAGACCTCTGGAATCAGGTGAGAGGGCATGCCCTGGACAGAGATGTTGAAGTTGTCAAAATCGAGAGCCACGCCAAGGAATCAGATTTCGAGCGTGCCTCACCCGAAGTGAGGTCCCTTTTCGCTTTCAACGGGTTGGCCGCCAAACTTGCTGAGAAGATGCCCCCTGAGGCACAAGTCCCATCAGAAGCCGCTGAGACCTTACGTGAGCTAGAAGTGGAGTCGAAGGACATCCGCCGCCGCCTCGTCGCCAGATTGGCGGAGATGCTGGCGTCTCGCCCAGTTTCGGAGTTGAGTTCGGCCCCGACCCAAGCTGGACCTGAAGCAGGCGTTTGCTGACACCTTGCATTCCCTTGGGCCCGAGGTTGTCAACAGTCGCCGTTGGCATTGTCGTTCGTGTGGTTCAGAGCCCTGTAATAGGTCCAAGGGTGCCATACTTAGGTGGCTCCGGGAACCCTGCTGTGCCCCCGTCGTCGTTAACCCGTCCTGCCAAGCCCCGAATACGGAAGCTCCGCCTCGCCACGGCCTGGCTGCGCATGCCTCTCCCGCTATGCGGTGGTGGGAGGCGGGGGAGGGCTCTCGGAAGGAACTGACCTTTGCTTGCTCGACCTGTGGTGGCTTTCGGACAGGCCACTACAGGCGCAGCGGGAAGCTGTTGCAGGAATGCCAGCTCCACAAGCGTACGGGGCTGGCGTATTTGAAGGCCCTCGAGAGGGGCCTCGCCCCTGGCCGCACGACATTGGCCAGGGAAATGAACTCCCAGGTGTAACCTTGTGGAGCCGCGCGCAGCGCATTGTCGAATCTAATCTAATATTCTCCTCCTCCTCCTCCCCCTCCTCCTCCCCCTCCTCCTCCTCCTCCTCCTCCTCCTCCTCCTCCTCCTCCTCCTCCCCAACTCTGTTCGGATGACGAAAGATTGAGCTTCCTGTGATTTTCTGCAGCTCGGTTGATCTTTCTGCGGCCGTCGTGTGCGGTGTCCGTGTTTCTTACGGTCCCCGGGAACAAGAGAGGGCCCCTGAAAACGGAAAACAACAACAAAAACACCCGTCGCTACGCTTAGGTAGGGCATGTCCCCATGCAGGCGGATTTTGGACGAAAAAACATACGTAAAACGAAATCTTCAAACATTGTTTTAAACATGCTAAAACAAATCGTCCCCAGACGATGTTTTGACTATTTTAGAATATTCCCCCTGAAGAGGGACAGGCCCGACTTAACGCTTATCTTGCACGACGCGAGGAGGAGCTGCTGTGGGCAGTCTGGGAGCCAACGACGACGACGGACGGCGGACGGCAAGCGGCGGCGGCGTGGCACGCGGGCGGCGCCTGCGAAGCCCAGCCCGCCGACGTAGAGCGAGCAGGCCAGACTCGTGCGCCTCGGGGGGGACCCGGCCCGGGCCATCGACGACGGACGACACAAATCTCCGACGATGTCATTGTTGTTCGCTCCTGCCGATTTTTCTACAGCAGGAACTCGACCGCAGGAAACCTGGCCCTAGAAACCCAACCCAAAGACCCTAGGACTTCTATTGACTTGACTTTTGGTGTGGGAGCGTCACGCCTTCCCTCGCAAGACTTATGTCGGGCATGTCCCCCTGCTATATATATATATATATATATATATATATATGAAAGATAATCATAACATGCTCAAAAGAGACCCCCAAATAGTCGAAGCATCGTCCCCAGACTATTTGTGTTACAATTTTTCAATTTTCCTCTGGTATGGGGGACAGGCCCGACTTAACGCAAAACCATCGAAACCTGGAGGCAAAAGACAAGCCGGGCGTTTCTTGGCCTATGGGCTTTCACGGCAGATTGCGGCATCTGGGGCCAGCCGTCGGGCCTCCCAGCGGAAGACTGTCCCCGGGGGAAGTGGTCGAACCTCTGCAGCGCGGGCCGAAGACATCACATCGTCGGGTGTGGAGGAGGAGGAAGGAGGAAGAGGAGGAAAAGGAAGAGGGGGGGGACGGGGCGGGGGAGGAGGGGAGGGGGAGGGGGAGGGGGAGGAGGAGGAGGAGGAGGAGCAACACTCCCATGAAAGAGACGAGAAGAGGGCAGACGGGCAAGAAAAGGACGAGACGAGGGCAAAACGTTCAAGATCCACGTCTTTCTACAGCAACGGCGGCGGCAGCAGCCAGCGGTGGGGGCGGGGGCGCGCCTGCGCCCGCGGGACGAGAGGCACGTGGGGGGACAGGCGCACCCTGCCCTGCGAACGGGTCGGCACCATGAAAAAGGAGCCGCACAAAATGAAACCTTCCTGCAGCGGCCCTGGCCCTCGCGTTCACGAGAGAAGAAAAGGACCGAGCTGAATACAAATCCTGGACACGGGGCGAATTGTAGCTAGAGAGAAGGAGGTCAAAAGCAACGAGACACGAGCAAAGCGAGGCGAGAGAGGGCCGAAGAAGACAAGAAAGGACAAGCAGGGGGGAGGGGACTCCAGGCAGAAAAACCAAGCCAGGATCGGGAAGACGGGGAAGAGCTTGGCTCACGACTTGATGAACAATAAGACAGGAGAGGTCGTGCTTCATAGTATCTCCATATGCAAGCCCACATCCCGGACCGATATCTGGCAGACGTATTCCAAGCATTACACAGGGTTCTGACATAGGCAGTAGCACAGGACTCAGGCAGCTTACGAGCGGCATTCCGAGATCGGCGGAGCGTGAGATGACCATCCCTAGCAGAGAACGGGCCCAACTTCCTCAATTTTTTCATGAGCATGTCCATGCAGGAGAAGGAATCCTCGGCCACTATATAGGCCTTCAAGCATTTACTCTGGAATTTCGGCATCCACCTATCAGTCGGCATATTAGGTATATGTTCCATGAAATGAGATACGTAGGTAAGGTGGGATACTATAGAATTGCAGTAATATGTGCCGTACTTCCAGGAAAGACACAGTTCAATATCTGCATCTAAGTCCTCCAAGAGACAGCGTGCAGTATAACATGCGCCAGACCTCGAAGCAAGACGGTAGGCAGCAGCAAAGGCGTAGTGGGCCAGTGAGCGCACCGATACTCCATGCCCAAATTCAGACATATGACATGGCATGGCCGAGTTGGTCGCATTCCTCGGGCCTGCGGTCAGCAGCTGGACGCACTCACTTTCCAGCTTCAACATGTTCCTGGACGGCCTCCGACATTGGGCAACATAGCCAAGCACAGGGAAACCAAAAGTGTTGTAGGCCACGATGTTTTGCCCCAGCGATCGCCCAAGCCCACGGGTCCTCCGAGCCCTGGCAACCAAGGAACTCAAAGGACCATCCCGCGATTTCTCTTCACCAAGAACACCAACAATAATTCCCATATGTTTCCCAGAGGAGGCAACCTGAAAACGGCGAATACAGGGCCCAAGCTTCTTAAACTCAGCACGAACAGACACAAGTTCAAAATCTCGCGGCATACTCAGCGCCGTCTTACCTGGGTGGAGAGGCAGGCCTGCAATAGCTTCTGCCCGAAGAAGGCGCCGTGCAAAAGTGGGGAGATGCCGATGAATATCTTTCGACGCCAGCGCTAAATCATCAGCGCAAGCAGAGAGCACGTTGTCACACCCAGGAAGAAACCCTTGAAGGAAACGAATGGGTGGATAGAAGACCAGCGCAAACAATATGCCACCCAGGGGGCATCCTTGTATTATCCCGCGCCCCAAGGGAAAATTGAGCTCTTGATTGCCTCGGAACGACACGACTACTTCCACTTCTGTATATATGGAGCGCAAGAGGAACCAGTCAGGCAGGCCCATCTTGGTCATGGCGCGCCGCATCCACCCGTGAGCCACATATGGAGAAGCTGCGCGGATATCAAACAGTGCGCCTCCAGCATTCCTGTAGCCAGCAGCTTCTAACCACACCATAAGGGTAGAATCTATTGATACAACATTTCCGGCGAGGTTACGGCCGGGCGCAAAACCATTCTGCGCAATATGAATAGAACCCTGGCCAATCGCCCCCAGAGGCCTCGCAAGGGCCGCCGCGAGGATTTTGTTGTCGGCGTTGGATAATGATAGAAGCCGAACCTTGTCCACGCTACGCTGCTGGAGGAAGGTGCTGGGGCCAGGCCCACCTTTGGGTAAGAACGTACCCAGCGACTTGTTAAATTCAGCGGCGAGAGTTCCACCGGAACAAACATAATCATATAACTCATAGAGACCATCCCAACATTGTTCCCCTCCGCAGATCCAGGCACTGCGCGGAGTAGCATCGGCCCCAGGTGCAATGTCTTTCCGTTTCAGAACCAGCTGGTGAAACTCCATGCGGGATAGACGCCATTGCACTCCAGTCGGCGCAGCTTGAATATGAGAGTCCGGGCCAGCAAGGAGCGAGGCAAACGGTTCAGGAAGCGCAGCAGGGTCAGCGTCTTCCTGAACATTTAAAGGCTTGGCCACGTCGCCCCAGTACTTGGCGAGTGCTGCAGCGCAGGCCTCACAGTCCCGAGAGACCGTGCCCTCGGAATCCAGAATACTGTGAAGCTTAAGCTTCCGATGCGCCGGAGCCCAGGCACGTGAGAGTTCAGCAAGACGATTATGTTTATTTTCCTTCACCTGGTGGTGTAAGTCCTGGCCCTGAGAAACCTCAGCGGTCGCTTCCTCGTAAAACCCTCTTGCATCTCATAAGAGCATCAGTGAACCCAGGACAATCAAGCCAAACCATGTTTGAAGCATCGTAGTAACAAGTAAGCTCAGCAAAGGCGCGGCAAGCTCTCGAGGCTGCCCTGAAGTGCCCAGACCAATAGGCCCGCATAAGGGCCACCATCCACGCGAGGTTTTCGGCCACCGCCCCAGGTCCAGGGATGTCAGGCTTTCTCTTCATGCGAGAGCTTGCTTCACGCATCAATACTTTAATCTAATGTAAGCGCTGAAGAGGCCCAGAGGATAGATCAATCTCTTCCAGCTGTTCCAGTACAAATCTCGTGAACAGCGGCGAGCGTGATACCCACCTTGGAATAGAGCTCCTGCGCTCACGCTGAGGGTCAAGCGGGTCGAAATCAGGGCCGCGGTCGGGCGGCAGCTTCGGGTCTGTCACTGGCCAGCACGCCCCCGACATAGGGCCAAGGTCCAATAGATCATGAGATGGCAGATCTTGACAAATACGATCAAGACGAGCAAGAGATTGTAGAGTAGAATGTTGCACAACTTCATGGGTGCAACCAGGCTGGTCAATCTCGCAGAACCGACCGAACTTCTCAATAAAGAACTTGCTAAGGGAGGCCGGGGACGAGGAAGAGGAGCAAGAGGAACCAAGTCGCAATCGATATTCCCCATCTTCACAGAAATTCGAATCCCCGCCCAGAATAATTGCGGAGAGAGCCTGCGAGGGGAGAGGAGTCCAGGATGCACTGCAGCAGCTGGCGCCGAACGGACAGGCGCAAGCAAGGGTCAAGATGCACACTCGCGGCGCACAATCGGCCGTACTTCCCGCGAATATCAACCGAGAGACATCTCCCTTCAATTATCTCGTGCGGCACGGTGCGATCAATAAGCCGCGCCAGACGTTCATGAGACATCAGAACCACGCCTCCCGAGATATCTTCTGAAGTAAAGGTCCCAAAACGCTGGTGAACAGGGAAAACACGAGCAAGCTCCAGAAAGTCCCCGGGGCGTCCGTGGGCCCCCATGAAGGGCAACGGCGTCATATTTTTTCCCCGAGGTACTTAAGCTTCCCCCATTTCTGCTGAGACAGCGCGCGATTGGCCCAGACGCTACCGAACCATGTGTGAACATTCCAGGTAACCATTGAGATACCCATAGGAGGAAAGAAAGGAGAGCTATGCAGATCCTGGCCTGGCGGAGGAGGTGGGGGAGGGGCAAGAGGCAGCACAAGTGACGGCTGCACAGAGACAGGGCGCAAATCAGAAGTCGCAGACGAAGACTCCGAACGCGACGAGGAGGCCGAAAAAGTGCACGTAGAACTGGAAGAGGAGGTGCCATCCCGAAGCTGCTGGACCCCACATCGAACAGCAGCACTGGAGGGCGGTGTGACCAACATATCATTCCATATCTCACATCTTGATGTTGGCACCGAAGATAGTCACAGCTCGGCGCTCTCGATGATATCGCGGATCTTGGCTTCGCTAATGCCCCACATCTCAAGGGTCTTTGAGTTGGGGAGGAACCTCTCAACGTCGGCGCCGCTGTGCTCGCATAGGACGAGCTCGTCAATGTCATTGTCATCGGCTACATACATCACCCCACGCTGCCCATTCACTCCAAGCTGGTGCTTTTCTGTCCACATGGCCGATTTCTGAAGCTCTGCCTTCACCGCTGTGTAAATCTTCGCGAAAGATTTGGCACGGAGACGAACGGGAAGTGGGCGATCTCCTCGACACCATATGTTGGACGCGGTGTTGCGCCGCCGATCAAGCCACTTGTGCCCATC